TTTTTCATAGAGAATGAATTTAACCCGCGAGCACACGCACCGATCCGACGAACACGAGAACGCGCGCCGGGTGTGTCATACCCGAATAAAAAAATTGTAATTAAAAATTTGTCAAAAAAAAATTAATCGTTTTTTAAAAGAAATTAAATGTAAAACCAAGTTAATAATTCATTTTAGACAAAATAGGAAACAATAAGGAGAGGAAAAATTATTTACTTACATCTTGAACATTGTTTACAAAATGAGGTCATATGTTCTATACATATACTTTTGCTACAATTTTCACAAATGAATCTAGTCTTTCTATCTTTTTTCTTGGAGCACTCTGTACACCTCTTGCAAGTCATTTTAGGTTTTTGGGGGGACCGTTCATTGTTAACATGTTCATCGGTGGTCAGTGTTTGTCCAGAATCAGGAACCACAGATGTTCGCCGTCGTTCATTTTGAACATTTTCTATTAGCTGCATCCCTAAGGCTTTGAGAAAAGCACTCATCCCGTTTACGAGTAAAATTTTCTCGTATTGAATCAATATAAATATTTGTAACGTCAAATACATGTTTTAACATATCTTCATTGATGAGCAATAACAAGGAATCTAAAGGTGTTGAGAAGTCTTTAGAATACTTTGTATTTCCAGGGAGTTTAGTTATAATATTTTTGGCGCCAATTCTAACATTAGTCCGGAATTTATTTTTGTTCGTTTTTACTCCATTTTTTCCAACATAAAACTCATTGCTACATTCTAGAACTTTCATTTTCTGTTTCTGTATCTGAATCACTATCTCTATGGATGAATCATGATTACTATTATATTCTTCGTCATCAGCATCTTCTTCTTCTTCACTAAATGAATCCTCATCACAAGAAAACTGTTTCAAGGAGATTTCTCAAATCTTTTCATCTCTTCATCGTAAGGAATATACGGCGCCATGCTTACGACTCGAGAAAAACCTATACTAAAAGCTTGAAAACGAGAAGTGCGAAGTGACTCACTGAGAAAACTCGAGTACACGCCACGGTATGACGTGCCCCGAACAACGCTGTTCCTAAAAAACCATTGCACTTGCCACCTCAGGAATTTCCTCCATTTAAGTATGTGACCTTGAACTCAGCTACACCAAGTTTCGACCTTTTATGAAATAATGGGCGAGAAATATACAAAAAGAAAAATGCACATGGGTATGACATACCCGCCGCGTGTGCTCGCGGGTTAAGAGTGTTTGGGATATATTAACCCTGCAGTGCTCGTGTGGCATATTGTTACGTTAAAGGTCGCGTGGCGTCTAACAGACGCCAGGTATATTTTTGCTGTACTAATATATATTTAGGTTATCCAACTCAAATTTATGAATGCAAAGGGATTATTGAAATAACATACATATATTTGTGGTATCATATTACAAACACAAATAACAAAACTTCAATTTACAGTGAGATTTAATTTTATTCAACTTAACTACTTAAATACAAATGAAAAATACAAGTAAAAGTGTTTCATTTAGTTGGTTGCACAAACTAGCAATCAACGCATATTTGCTGAGCGTTTTCTAAACATAAAATGTTTACAACTGCGGTATTTGTATTTGGTGTACTTGTTCTTGGAACGGCCACATTCATGACATCTCTGCCTTTTAGTAGTTCAAGCCTCTATTGTAAGTTGAACTGTACGCTCATCTGGGAAAATGCTCTGAATATCCTGCTTGAGGTTTCTAGGTTAATGATGAACATTGAGAACGTCTACGCAAGGAATCATAATCTACCCAAAAGTTTTAAAAACTCACTGCGCCTGGTGCTGATTGATAAGTTATTTGCACGATATATTATTTGAGCATTTACAGCTGCTACATTCGTCATACTATAAAATATGACCATAGGGCATCTGTTCATTTTCTGGCAACATTGTGAGTGCTACACAACTGGTCAACAGTAGCAACTCCTGATTTAGTTGCGTTATGAAAGGTTATCATTTGGGCTTGTTTTTTCACATGATTCATCAATTACATCATCATGATGCATAGTGGAGAGAATCAAAACCACCTTGTTTTCCTTAGTTACATAATACATTAGAGCCATTCTGAAACCTAAACAATGATGTTCCTACTTCCCAATTCTTTGTATGTGTAAACTCTGGAGGAATGTCACTCTTATTCTTTCTCCGAACAAAATAGTCCCAACCAAAGTAAGATTATTTTGAAGCAAAAAAATACTATTGTCGAACCTCAAACAATATGAAAGGAACCTAAATCGTTTTTTCAGACATTATTAGATGGCATAACTCAACACCCATTTTATCACAGAACAATATCTCCTTGATACAGTCAAAATTCGTTAATCCAGACTCGTCGGGACTTCGGCAATTCCGGATTATCAATTTTTCCGGATTATAGATCATCAGTTTAAATCACGTAAGATGGCATGCAGAAATTCTAAAATTAAAAATATGAAACCGTAATTTATGAAATAAAGAACAATTATGATCTAAAGGGTATCAAAATTTACAAAAAAAAAGCTTAATATTTATTTGTTTACTTTATTAAACATTTCTTTCAATGTAGTTTGATAATACTTTCTCTTTAATTGTATAAACAGACATAATTTTTTGTTCAGCTACAAAGTTCCGCTGTTCAAGTCCCGTTAATTGCTGTGCCGAGAATACCGACTAACTTGTCAATCGAAATTTTTTCGTTTTCACTAACTTCTCTGTCACATTCTTCATGTCTTTATCTATTTTTTGCAGCAATTCCACTTTTTGTTTGATGGACATCGAAACATACTTTTGTTTTGGACAATCCTTTGGGAGCTCCAGAATTGGAAATTCTATTTGACATAATCGAAAGTTCAAGTTTACTTTTATAGTATTGCTCTTACAGTCTGCAAAAAGTAATAAGCCGGATCCAATTCGAAAAATTAAGGAACAACGCAATCATCAACATTAACTGAAATAGATAATTAGATAATTTTAGCTTATACCATCCGTTATAAATAAAACGCGCATGCAAAAATGTATTCTGCGCTTGCGCACATGCAAATGCGCAGTCGTAAGAGTTCTTACGCACACGCGTAAACACCTATGTGCATGTGACAACGCGGCGCATGCGCAGAAAGTTTTTAGCTTTGAGGTCCGGATTATAGATCATTCCGAATTATGGGTGTCCGAATTAACGACTTTTGACTGTATTTGCTTGATTGTCCTTTCTAGAAGCACAAATCTGTAATACGCCTAGAAGCGCTTTTATTTCAATTATGTCGGACAAATGGGCATCCCTTTCCGAAGAATAATTTTCCTGTACTATGGGCATCTTTTCATTTGTGAACTTGACTATATTAGATAGCATGCCATTGTCGAAAAATTATGCCCAACATTGCTCCGGCTTTCGAGCATTTTTCTGTGACTGGTAAATGAGTGATAATATTATGTCGCCAAGTGCATATAGTTTTTATTTTTAGGTGGGCAAACTTTTGATCATTTTTTCGGCCTAGGAAATAATTCTCGGCAATATAATCATTACTATCGCTATCATTGGAGTTTTTCTTGCTCGGTGTCTGTTTTCATCTCTTGTTTCCACTCTATCTTCTTCTGCATCACTATAATCATCAAACTCATCACCTGATTCATATTCTTTCCATCAGCATACGTAGTACTATGTCACGTTCATATGCCATATTGAATTTTTTCTGAGAAGTCATTTTGAGTCTAAAGGTAAGAAAATAAATAATAAAAACAAATGTTACCCATAAAAATTATAAATACCAAAAGAAATACATTCTTTTTACATTTAAAATTAAGTATATTCAAAAATAATTTCTTTTACCTATCACTAAAAAGAAAAAGAAAAACACTACTAGGGACAGCTGTCGATAATATAAATTAAAAGTACTAAAATGTATAAATTTTAAAATACTTACCTTTAGAATCAAAAACGGTCGCGTGGCACCTCCTAGACTCCAGCAGCGCACATCGGCATATAACCTCTTCCTCTCAACACTAAAATGAAAATAGAGTTGTTTCGATGATTTCTACTTATTTGTGTATAGTTGACAGAGAGGTAGACGGCAGCATAAGCTTGCTGACGCATCCGTTTATAAAACAATTAAAAAAGAAACATCCCTGGTGGCTGTGGGATGCCATGCGAGCAGTGCAGGGTTAAGTGTTGCTGTGAAGTCCGACTGGATGAGCTAATTTTCTGTTCTCCATTACTGAATCTCATTTAGCATAAGTAACATTAATATCCTTTTACTGCTTGATCTTTGTATTCTTAAATTGCTAATTTAGTAAAAGTTTAGAAAGAAATGCAAAATCGTAGTTAATAACGGCAAACGTAATTGTACCATGATGTATTAACATGTATGATTACAACAGATCTGTTTAGAAGAATTAGATGTGTATTATTCTTCTAACATGTCTAGACATGTCTAATTCTTCTAAACTCAACTCTAGTTCCCGTCTTTTCTAGAAGATGTGGCTGTTACATGTTAGTTTTCATGACTTTTCATCTGTTGGTGCATGATTATTAAGTGCTTTATAAAAATTTTTTGCTATGTCAAATGCAAATTTTTTTCTTAAGTGTAATCATTTAAAATTGTTTGCTGATAATGAAGTGCTTGAGAGATATTAATTATTTCTGTGAAGTGTTATTGGATTTATTACAAGGTAATTTTCTGTTCTGTATTATTCAATATCTAGCTTAATTAACATTTATAATCTATTCCTGGTCTATCTTTACGTTCTTAAAATGCCTAATTTAGTAAAAGTTTAGAAAGAAATGCAAAATCCTAGTTAAAAATGACAAAGGTAAATTCTCATCATTCAGTTTTTAAAAAAGTAAATGGTCTGCCTTCTTTATTATCACTTGATATTAATAATACATCATGTAAATTGTTCCTTTCAATAATTATTCTAAATTGAAATTTCAATTCAGTGTTTTGTAGAATGCAATATGCATAGTGCAGATGCTAATTTTTGTTTGTCTAACTGTAATCATTTATTCTTTTTTGATAGAGAATGAATTGAAGTGTGTTTGGGATATATTAAGTGTCACTGTGAAGTCAGACTGAATATATTACAAGGTAATTTTCTGTTCTCCAATATTCAGTCAATACATAACATGAATCAGTCTTGAATCTCATATAACACGAATCGATCTCGAATCTCATATAGCTTGAATGAGATTTATATTCTGATTCTTGTGCATTTTTATATTCTTAAAATTGCTAATTTAGTAAAATTTTATAAAGAAATGCAAAACAAATTCTAACAGTTTAACTTATAAAAAATAAAAGTTATACCTTAGATGTAGTGATAAATAAAGTGATAGGCATTAGGGTGTAATCTGAGATTCTGATAAAAGCTGTCTGCTGCTGTAGACCAGTAGCAAAAAGATTGTGCATGATTTATGATCCAGACTTATCCAGTACCAGAGACACAGTACTGTACCAGAAGGAAGAGCAAGATGCTGAGGTTATGCAGAAAGAACCTCGAATCCTTTCATTTGAGGTTCAAAGAAAGAGAAACCCTGTGAGAAAGTGGTATGTTTTAAACTGTATATAAAGAACGCATGTGCAGGGATTGCTTTGTTAACACATCTACATCTTCCAAGTGCATCTGTAAATTTCCATTTAACCCTCTGTGTTCTAACCACCCTATTGTAATCCTAACTTAATAAATGTGTGTGTCCACAAACCTAGTGTTCTTATTCAAGAAGTCTAAAAGACTCCCATATATATATATATACACTCAAATGTTTCGTCATGTAATAATAATAGCTACTTGCATGTACAGCCACCTAAAATAGTTACTGAAAAAAATATGAGGATTTTAATCAATCCAGGTCAATGATGACATTTTTATTTTGGCAGTGGCAACACAATGTTTTTAAATCACTGAGTAACCATCTACACTGAGTAACTAATTAAAAGTTTGTTAAATTAGCATAAAATATAAGCATATAAAGAGTGGGATGGTTTTTGAGAAATCTTATGCAGAAAGTGATCATCCTCTTGTTTTGAAGGTTAGGTGTGCCAAATTTTATCAAGAGCAAAGTAAAACTGTAAATTTGTAAGAATTACACACAAAAAATCTGTGCAAAATGTTATTTGTACAAAGACATAAATCATTTGTTGCAACAAAGATAACTAAAACGACATTTCAAATTGTATATAATATTGTTGAGAATTTTTTTTTAATGTAGTATGAAAATTCTGATGTAAAGCAAAGCTTTTCTGGAAAATAAGATTACAAGAACTTAAGAACAGGAACAAGACTAGTTAACATTGTGAAAAATGGCTATCTGATTAAATTTGTGAGATACTGCCAAGCTGGTGATGGTTTTGGCGACATTTTGATCCAGCCCCTGTATAACTGAATACCGTATTTGACGGCATATAAGACGTACCCTTATTTAGACGACCACACACAAGGAAAAAAAGTTTCAATAGCGTGGTTTCTTTTAGTTCTTACGTTTCGTAAAAGCCAAATAAACAATTATTGAATGCAATTACCTTCACGTATAAGACGCAGGTAACTTTTTTGAGACCAAATTTAGGAAAAAAGTGCATCTTATATACCGTCAAATACAGTAACTGCTGTTGGTCTGATCCCTATATGTTAGATGTAACCATATCTGGATCTGTATAACTAACTATATATGCCTTCCTGCAATTTTAAAACAGCCAGAGGAACTTGAATTCAGTGCCTGGGGGGAGGGGAACTATATAACATGGAGAAAGCACCAGTTCTCTGTTTTTAGTTCAGATTTAACTTCGGAGTATTGAGAGATCTCCATGCAAGCTTCACTCTTTGGATACGATTTACCATGCATCGTCTTTAAAATTATTAGCACTTTGAAATAGTAATGGCTGGAATCTTACTGGCTGTGCGCTGTCCTGCTAAAAAAGAGCATCAGTTTCTCATTTGTTAGTTCTGAGCTGAATTCGGAGTATTGAGATATCCATTTTAGTTTCGGTCTTTAGATTTGCTTGAAATGCATAGTGTTAAATGTTCTTAGCCGCAGCGTGCAATGAATTGGAAATTGATCTGTCAGCACTATCCGTATCTTCAGCGCAGATGTTTTTATTTTATTTGGTTTATAATTCCTTACTAAATGTAGTATTTCATCTCGATGTACTCCTTTGATATGATTTAAATCAAATTCCTCATCATTATAATTTGCTTCCGATAGTGAAGAAAGTGATACAAAGGTTATTGAAAACAAAAAAAATTTCGATTGACAAATTGGTCGGTATTCTCGACACAGCAATTATAGGACTTGAACAATGGAACTTTGTAACTGAAGAAGAAATTATGTCTGTTTATAGAATTAAAGAGAAAGTATTATCATATAAAACGAAGCAACTTAAACAACTTACATTGAAAGAAATGTTTAATAAAGTAAACAAACAAATATTAACCTTTTTTTTTTTTTTTTTTTTTTTTTTTTTTTTTTTTTTTTTTTTTTTGTAAATTTTGATACCCTTTAGATCATAATTGTTCTTTATTTCATAAATGATGGTTTCATATTTTTAATTTTATAATTTCTGCATGCCATCTTACCAGATTTAATCTGATGATCTATAACCCGGAATCGCCGAAGTCCCGATGAGTCCGGATTAACGACTTTTGACTGTATATGTAAATTTCTGTAAGTGTTGTCTTTGTAATGTGTATCTTCTTCTTACTAAACCCTTTGATCTGAATCAGATCAGATCCATAAGTTCATTTGCCTTCATAACTTGCAACATGAAATTAAGTCTCTTCAGCAGATCTTCATGCACCAAGGCAAAACATAACTAAGTAGATGTTACGCAGTAGCTTCATGGTTTTACATTTCACGAGTGGGAAAAGTTTTAGTACCGCAGGAATATCTGTGATTCTTTAAATGTCCTGAAATCAAATGAGCAAGAGCCAATTGGTCCTTCTGTCACCCTTGAAACCAATAGCAGTACCAGGACCTGTACTACTATACTACGAGTGTGTCAGTAGCTGTCTCCAAGAATTGTTAATTAAAGCCTTTGTTCTCAAGTATAGTTCAAGATAGGTCAAAGGTTCATCATTACCCTGAGGCATGGAAGTACCCTCCTTTGTTAACCTATTAGCTAGGTCATTATATTTTAGATTTACGTCAGATGGTATCCATGTGTATGTTCTGCTGTAAAGTAATTTGAGTGTCTGAAATAGTGTAATTATTAAATTATGCCCCGAGTTAAGCCACAATGGCTACAGCATCTCGCAGTGTTATTAGATGTTCTTCTAATGCTAAGTATGTGGTGACGTGTGACAGTACCACCTAACCTCTTACTCGAATTAAGTCTCCATCAATTGGTATGTATAGGGCTGCCCAGATAAGATAATGGTTAGTGACGTTGAATACCGTAAGGAAGGATCCGGGTTCGAATGCTGTAGAAAGCATATATATTTATAAGCTTATAATGTCTCTGCATTATAAGCCACTGCATGAATGGATGTATGCAAGCTTTCAATGCCCCCTTGGAGCAGAAATTCTTTTGAGAGGTTTGTAGTAGAAAAAAAAGAGGTGCGAGACCCTCAGACTGTTTGTTCTCCATTCAGAACTGATGGTAATCAGTTGGTAAGAATTCTGTATTGTAGTACAAGATAAAATATTTATCAAGTACAGCATTGATTATTGAGTAAAATATTGAATATTGAAGCATTACTGTATTGTATTCGAATTCTTGGCCAGCATTATGTAAGAATCACTTGGCATGGATTAATATGAAAGTGATGCAATCCAGAGAGGTTTATTATGACCAGTTTCTATTTTTAGTACAGAAAAGGAAAATACCCAGAATTAAATGACTAGTTAAGGGGCAAAACAAATTTAAGTTAAAATTTTGATTTACATAGTTTTTATCTACCTGTCTCTAGATATCCACCTAATAATGTACAAGAAATATAAAAAAATTAACATTCTGTTTTCCAAGTTATTATTTAAATATATGTGTAGTAAAGGATTTTAATACATTTAGTTTGGATTTCGAGAAACAAACTGTCTACCTAAAGAGATTGGAATTCATTAAATTACATGTAGGTATATTAGAGTATAATCCCTGATGGAAAGATGCTTTCATGGAGGGCTTTCTAAGGAACACTGGCTTGTACTTGCATCATGCAGCGGGAAATATCGATGAAAATTTGCATGCAATCTGTTTGCTGAGATTTACGAATGGCCATGCAGCCAGTTTGTTCGCCAGAATTTGGAACTTTGTCTAATTATCAATGTTCACTGGTTTTTTCCACTAAGTTCCATGGTAGGCTAAATATATTATGGATACAGTATTTAATCATATTTACTGATTTTATGCCATCCCAACGTGTCCTCACGTTTCATGCCTTTCCAATGTGTGTAATTTCAAGCATGAAACAAGTTATGCACATAATAAAATTGTTTAATACACAGCATTGATGTTGCTATATCATAACACACAGCAAAGATATTATGAAACTCGAGGGGGGAATCTCTCATAGGGCAGTAAACTATCTAACACTACATTTGAGAAGTGATATTGTGTTGCTTTCAGAAGTTCTTTAAAGAATCTACCTGGTAATAATAAAGACAATTTTTTAATTTGTGGACAAACTGTCACTAAATTTAAATTTGTTAATGGTAGATGTGTAGAAAAGGATTTTATTGTATTCAGATAACATTAAAGAACTTTGTTGCTCTTCATTTATGGGATAGGAAGTAAAATCAAAATATTCATTTTAAGCCTGAAAGCATGACATACACACGAAAAAAAAATACATCAAAAGAAATAGTTAAAAAGGTAGAAGATTTTTAATTCTAAAAAGAAATAGGCGATAATTCTTTATTAATACCACAGAATATCACAAAACTGCTGTTACTAGATTGGTTTATTCATATTGCGGCACAGCACACAAGGGTTATTTGCACAATGAGGGTGCATTTCTGGAGAACTTTCTTAAAGGGAACTGGCTCATATTGCACTATGTTTGAGTAAAACCACAAAAATCTTATGTGGCCAGCCCATTCACAAGGATTTGAATCCGGGTCAAACCATAATTAGCCACTGGTGATACTGTTGTTTATAGTATGGAAGATGCAAACATATATCTTTTGGCATTTTAGAGGAAACTGCTTTGCATTCATGCTCCGTGTGAGAAACACCATTCGTCTGGCACATAATAACCTTCAAGGTTTTGTGCTATTAAAAGTCAACCAACCATTTGGGAAGAGTCCGTGAAAACATTCATGCAGCGGTCGGTTCATTGGATCTGAACTCAAGCTACAAATATTCAGCTTTCTGATTCACTTGGTTGTTGGTGAGCATCTTAGCAAAGTTTTAAAAATACAAGAAGTAGGAACAAATTGCTATACAAAACTAGAAATAGGAATCACATGTCAGATTTCGATTTCAGCTTTTTGTCTTTTTTTTTTGGGGGGGGGGCTTGGTTTTTTTGTCTTGCACTCTTGCAGGATAGTGATATTTTTGAATAAAGACTAATGAATTTTTTTTTATTTTTTTTATTTTTTATTTTTATTTATTTATTTATTTATTTATTTATTTATTTATTTTTTTTTGTCATAGCCCCCCAACCATATTTCGCGATTTTAGATTTGCACCAAGATATCAGCTATAATTTTGGCATAATGTGAACAGCCTTTTATTTATCTGTTAAGATTTAATTTTAGTTTGTAAATATAA